TATTATATTTTTGGAATATCTTACCATTTTTATTAAAAGCATTAATGAGCTTTGAAATCTTCTTTTTAAATATTTTATTGACATAAGAAACCCATTAAATTTCATTAGTAATTAGCAAAATGCAAGCTAAGTTTTGTTAATTCGCTTGATTTTAACTTCAAGTTAAAAACTTTAATACATTTTCGTAAGCCATAAAATTATTGTTAAAAATTCAACAAGTTTTAAAAATGAAGCATTTAAATATCATTTGAATAGAATAATAAAAATACGAGTTCAATTTAAAACCATATTCTCTCCTAAAAGCAAAGTTTCTTTTTCTTCTAGCCAAGTTTATAATGTATTCCTTTGTTGTCTTTTAAAAGAACTATAAATGTACTTAAAAAACTGTTCATTAAATTACAAAAAAAATGATGATTTTTCAAACTTTTTAAACACTACTAAACGTAACTTGATAGTAACTAATCAATAAATAAAAGCATACTAATTATAAAGTGAAGCAACTTTAAATAACTTTTCTCCACCCAACTTTAAGTTAAGTGAAGCAACTTTAATATTTTCTAAATGAGAATAATTTTCTTGTTTTCTTAAGCCATTTAAAGCATTTTTAACAACAACAGTGGAGTTTCCTTATTGTCTGATACTAAATTGCACTAATTTATCTGATACGAAAACAATATTTTTTTTAAAAAAAACTATTCTTGACATAATATTAGACGATAAATATAATCCATACATATTCTCAATGGTATTTTTTTTCAAGCAAAATTTCTGTATGTATTGTAACATGCAATTTTACAAGTTTAGTAAAATTTCTTTTTTGTCTAACACTAAATAATTTAAATGATGCACAAAACAATGTTTCAAAAAAACTATTCGAGACCAAATAACGGACGAAAAATATAATAAATTATCTGTATATTTTTATAAGCATATTTTCTTCTTTCATTCATAATATTTTTTGATTAATAATAAAGTTTGAAAATGAAGCTTTTTGTAATATTTTTACAAGTGCATTAAGGGCTATTCCTACTATGAAGCTAAATAATTTTAGAGATACGCAAATGTTCTTGTATTAAAGAAACATTTTTGACAAAATATCAGACGATCCTTATAATCATAATTGTATACACTATTTTATTGCTATGATGCTTTATCTCAAACAAAATATCTTGTGCAGTACTGCTTTGAAAAAAAAAATGAGATGAAGATTTTAGAAAAAAGTTATAAAATCTAAAGCATTTCTTTTCTTACTAGAAACTAAACCAGACTAAATTGAATGACACGTAAACAGTTATTTTTAAATGTATTCTTAACTAAAATTTTTATGATAGATAAAATAAAACCAGTAAACATATTTTTAACTATATGAAGAAATTTATAAGTAGTAGACTCGCTTACACTTTAATTAGAGAGCTGACTTCGATTTTTGTTTGGTTTTCAGTTTAAACTTTGTATTTCCCTAAAGACTGAAAAGAACAAAATGGGTGTTTAAATTGAGTATGTTATTGTATTTCTTTTTCCGTGCACTGTAACGGTTGCAAAAAAATAAAAAGTTATTGATAGTTTATTTGAAACTTTTACTTACAATGAAGTACTTTTGAACGAAATAGAGCTAAGGTCAACACAGAATATTAAACTTACTTTTATAAAATATTTGCTTATTTTTTGAATATTTACTTTTATAAAAGGAATTTTCACCGATCACATAATTTGAAATCAAAGGTTACTGGTGTAAGAAATTAAGAAAATTTGAAGACTTGATCGATTATCTCTAGAACTACTGGACAGATTTTAATAAAATTTTATGTGTACATTTATTTGATATAATGCGAAACAAATAATCATTCAACAATTGTAATACACTCATGCATGCTGGTCAGTAACACTCGTTGGAACCGGAAGGTGTAAAACTGCCACAGAACAATTCGGGCCAATAGCCGCAGGAAATTATAAACTGCCTTATTTCTGGCATGAAATCATGATTCCAGGCCTGTATATTTGTTTACTCTGCAATTGCTGTTTCTTACCTTCCGATTGCAACAAGTGTTACGCACGATCATGCGTGTGTATTACAATGTTGAATAGTTATTTATTTTATATTATATCAATGAATGTACATAGCAAATTTCATTAAAATCGGTCCAATAGTTCTAGAGATAATCGACCAAGTCTGAAAATTCTCTTAATTTCTTACACCAGTATTTCTATTAACAATGCGCAGTAATTTATATTTAACAGGGGCTCACGCTAAGGATTTCAAATTATTAGATAGTAAATTAGCCAAAAATAAAAAATAATCGCCTATGTTCGAAAGATTTCGCCAAATGCAAATCTCAATTATATTTTATGATAATTTTTTTTCCCATTGAAAATAATTCTAAGGTAATTTGTTTCGGGCTTATATTATTTAGACCCAATTCTAATTGTTTATGCGGAACATCTAAGAAATCAAATACTTAACTATAATCGAATAAAAATACTGGTTTGTTTAGAAAAATTCATTCTGACGTAATTTTAATTTCTAATTTTAATATTTAGATACTTTATTTTTATAGCTTTCCTTATTTTGTAGTTTAAAGTTTTCAATAACTTTGTTTCTGATTGTGAAATTCACAACTCCATTTTGCACATTTAGGAAAGTACCTAAACAATATGTTCACCATTTTTGTTTTAAGGTTTAACCAGCGTTGAACAGCAGCCCAATTTTGAGTTTGTGGCTGTCATGGCTCAACAGCGTAACCTTGTAATTTTGAACCCAACCCAGAAGACAAGAAAACTCCTGAATAAAGCATTGTGGGTACCTATTTTTGATGGAATTAAATAGCGTTTACGTTACTTGGAAAGGGAATAAATCACGAAAACCTCCTACAGTTAGCCAGATAGCAAAGGGATCCTAATCCATAATCCATCTACCGCTGAGGATATTTTGTGTCAGCACTGTGGTCAGTGCAATGCGTCTTCATTGCATTCGTTGCTATGGCTACAGCTGCTGTTTGATAATTTTCGTAGAATTCTTTTTTTCACTTATAGTTTTGTTATGCATTAAGTTGGTGAGTTTATTTTTGAGATATGGGACCAGACAGATCCCATAAATACTTCTTGAGTTATAAATAAAAGAGAATTTCATCATTTGAATGATATGTTTGTTTTTATTGTTTTAATTAAGAATCAGAAATTCTAACCTACAGTTAAAACTAGATCGTTTTCATTACTAATTCAGGTGAATATCACAAAAAACGAGGGTAAAAACTAATTGACACGGTTCCACAATTTAAGAGAATAAATTTAAGAGAAGGTTACACGGTTGAAGCAAGAAAAAAACGATGTCAAGTCCTAAACTTCCCGAGACTGAAAAGACCAAAGCCAAAGAAACGTAAACGGGAATACCTTAAGCGTTACACACAAACGGAAAAACGAAAGGATTCCGTTCGCAAACGCAAGCATGAAGCTCGTCCCTCACAAAAGTACAAATTGGTTGAGAGAATTGAACCTTACCGAAGAGCGAATGGTGGCTCTCCGAGCCCTTTTCATGCAAATACGAGAACAGGGTGTTGATCATCAGTTAGGGACAGAAGGATCTACTGTCAACTTATCCAACGACTTGCACAAAACCGTAGACTGTCTTCCACGCAATATAAATGATTCATTCACTAGTCATGTAAAATTGAAAAGAAAAAAATGCCTAGCCTTCAAATCATAGTTCATGCATGAACTTGTAAATCCGAAACGGATGTATGATGCAGCTTACACTCACCTTCAAACACCATTGTACCAATCCGAAAATGATAATATTGATCTCAATTGGCTGTTCAATGTCTATTCAGTCATCAAAAGAATTTGCACAGAATGTGTCTGAGCTGCATTCAAATATGTTTGTGAAATTGTGTACCGAGCAGTTCAGGATAAACAGTTATAGATGTCCAAGATAAATTTACAATAAAGTTGCTTTTCCAGAAAAAATTAGATAACTACCATATTGCCAATGGGCAACCTGTGATCGCCTTGCTGAGATCACAATTTTTCATAAAATTTTTTTTAAAATTTGAACTACATCCAGACATGTATTCTTACATGTATTTTTTATTCTCTTATTATATTTCATTTACTTATTATTTTTCGAATGAAATTGATCTTAATTTATTGTTTTTTTTTCTTGACAGTTTTACCTACTATCTGAAAAAGAAGGCTCCAAAAATCATTCGATTTTAAATCTTATATCCAAAGCAATAGAGCTTATAAGAATAAGAATGTAATTTAAGCAATAGAGCTTATAAGAATAAGAATGTAATTTTTCTTGTCTATTCCGTTTCATTATTGAAAATAAAACGTAAAATTGGTCACGGAAGGTTTAGCCAAACATGTTTAGCCAAGCAAAACTTGTATAATCATTCTTGAAAAGTATAGAAAAATATACTTCAATGGGCTTCTCTGTTGTGTAAAAAATAAAATAGCAATTTGTGAGGCAGTAAAAAGTAAACTTTGTAAAACGTAAAATATTATCCTATTTGTCATGAACAATTATCCGTTATACAGGATAAGATTTTAAAATTTTGTTGAAAATTGCTTATACTTTTAACTTTAAAATAATAGTATTTTTGAGCCTCAAAAAATAAATAACTAGCTAGATAAAAAAATAGATAAATAAAGTTACCTAAACAAGTGATATTTACCTAAAAGATAACCATTCACGGCTTTTTTATTTATGCGATTATAATACTGTTTGCGGCCGCACCATCGTTTAAATTTCTTTAAAACCAATTTTATCTCAATCTATGTATTAATTCAAAATATATGTGAAAGAGACCTTTAAAAAACATTACATTGAAAGAAACAAGAAAAATATCATTGATCATTTAAAAAACCATTTACTGTCAAACAGCTGTGTCTTATTCGAATTCCATTAATTCTTATGCGTCTAACAATGCTATGAATACATTTTATGAGTTTATTAAAAAAAGAATTTTCGTTCACATAAATATTAGAAAATTATATTTCGTGACTTATAACACTGTGCAAAACTGCTTTATTCATTGTTCTCAAATGGTTGTTTAGTTTATTTCCTTAAAGTAATCACTCATACTGTATTATTATTGTATTCATTCTCTAAAGTCAATAAATATGCGTGTTATCTTAGATAATCATTAATATTTCGCAACACAGTTATACATTTTCCTTATGATGTGAAAGTATATTATTTAACCTCTATCACATGAATTGGAATATTCATTATAAAGTCTACAAACAGTTAGGCACAAAGCGTCTTAAAAGTAAGTATTTATTATTTTACCTTTTATGATATCTAATATTAATGCGTCGAATTCCAGCAAACTGTTATGTTTAAGGTAATGACATTTAAATGAACTGGTAGAATTTTCATTAAAAAAATACGGTAAAATAACAGGCAACAGTTTGTCTATCCAATTACTGTAAGGCTTACGGTAAAGAATATTTTTTTTTTATCTTTACGGTTTTGAAACCGTTTCAGACCAGTATGGTTAAAAATTCATTAATATAAAACAATACGGTTTTTTGTCATTTACAAATGGCATGATTTCAAAACTGTAGGAACGAAATTTAACTGGACATTGGAGCCAGGTTTTTTCTTAGGAAATGTGTATTGCAGCCATTGTGTGGTTGAGTTTTGTTCTGTCAAGTGAGCCTTAGAAATTTAATTAGTTTATCTAATGGTGTCATCTATCGTGGGGGCCAAGAAATGATGAATTTTTTGTGTTAACCAGCTTTGTGGTTTTGTCATTCATGCCTGTATAAAAGTTTTGACCTCTAGTAGTCCAGTCTCTAATTGAATAATGTAAAACACTGAGAACACATGATGTGTCGAATGTATGGAGTAAATATTGCGATGTTAACGCTGGAACTTGAACTTTCATTCTTTCGGTTATGAGTTTAACAGCCTCCTCAGCTGTAATGCATACACAGCGGCAAGGAACTATGTGGCTTCATAAGGTGGGCCTAGTTGGAGCGATGGAATTCTGGTTGTTTTTTGTATTTATGAAAGCAGTTAACGGTTTTTTAACAGTTTGAATACCATCTCATTTATGAGTATTTAACCGTTTTGTTTGGATATGATAAAATAACAATTAAATAAATTGTTATTAAGCCTTTTTTTCGAGATATATCTTTGTTCTTTTTTAGATGAATAGAACAAATAATAAAATTAAAAGTGCTTTAATACTCCTCATATAAACACATAATATTGATTAGGTGATAATTTTATACGCACTTTGAATGACAGAATATTACAATATTAAAGTGATTTAAGGAACTTAAATATGATAAAATCTTTGAAAACAACTGCTTAATTGACCTCACCGGCTACAAGCTATAATTTTTAAGTTAATGGTCATGGTTTTTTAAAGGCTAATGCAAATATCTTATGAAAATTTTTGCGCACTTTTTCTAGGAAGAATTTATTAGTGGTTTAATAAAGGTAAATGGGAATACAGGGCAAAAAGTTTTCAGAAAATTATAAATTTTTGCACACGCATCACCGAATAAATATTTTAACTGTTTAATTAATCACAAAATCACATTGCCTAATTAAAATTAAATATTTTGCTTAATGTAAGTTTTATAATTCTTGATTTCAAGTAGAACTAAAATTTAAAATGATCGACTTGATATGGTAGATTTTAAGCAATATTTTTTCTTTTAAATTAATGTAAACTATAGTGCATATAAGGCTGTAATATTAAGTGCATTTATAATTTTTATTATTACTTAATTAAATAAAATTGTTGAATAAACATTTATCATTGCATGGAAATATTAAACTCCGCATTATGTACATTGATGGTAATAATTTATTGTGAAATCTAAGGATGGAAAAAGCTTCAAACGTTCGAGAAAAAAAAAATGAAAACTGGAAAAAAAGAACTTTTGATAAATAACTGTAAAAACTCAGAAACTGGCTCATAACTGACTATTATGAATAGCGTCAAGTGAATATTTATAAGTGATTCAAAAATCTTTTTTGGAGGTGCATCGAAAATGAAGCTTTTTTAATGGAACTTAAAAATTCTAACGAAATTCTATCATTTCACAGACATTAAAGTACTATCATATCAAATTTAAAATCAGATTTTTCACCCATTTTATCATTTGTAACCTATAAAGTAGCAGGTTTACTTGAATAAAATTTTTAAAATGTTTATATTAAAATATCCATTATAACAAACATTTCATATAATTCCCAATTTATGAATATTTCATTTATAATTAAATATTTTGCTTTAATGCATTTTTACAGAAATATGTCTTACACTCTTAGCAAATGGAAATAATGTTTATTCAATTTATGAAGGAAATTAAAAAATATGAAATACCTTGAAATTAAAACTTTTCTATATATAAGAGAATGGATATTTATTGAAAAAAAATTCTTAATTAATCAATGAAGGACCAATTGTTTTAATCTCAATGCATAAAAATAAAAACAATCTAAATCTGGAAATGATAAATTAACAAACGTAAAGTAAAAAAAAAGTTTTTGTGTTTTTCCTAATGCTTCTTGCTAATGCTAGCAAGCCTACTTGGTGAAACCGAAGGAATTATAAGAATTTTGCCAATTAAAAGCCATTTTATTTTAAAATCCAGATCAAGATAGCGCATAATTTTTTATAGACAAAATTCCCATTATTTCCTTCTGCCATTACTCAATTTCCGCTTCGTAAATGCCAACTTTAATTATGGGTACCCAGACAATAATAATTTATAGACATTCCTCCTTAAGCATCCTTTAATGAAGATAGAGCGTTTTACTGATAACAAAATTATATAATTTTAGAATTTTAGCTTAATTGAGCATCTTTAAAATAAGGAAAGCTAAGTTTTCCACTATAGGAAATATCACCAAATCCTAACTTCCTCTGAAAATCAAGTTATTCTTTTATTAAATTTTTATCTCTAGAGATTTTGTTTAAACATATATTGCATGAGTTAGTTTCTGATTCTAAAACCGCCTCTTTTTCTACTCCAAGGAATAGGATTTTATAAATATGTGTTACTTTATTTTACAAGAACATATCAAACTAAGCCTTTTCTAGGAACATTTATCCTCCTCTACACCTAACGATGCATAAAGTAATTTATGAATATTATAAAGGCCATTTTTGTTTCAGTTTTCTTAATTTTTGAACATTTTACAGGTCAAAAATGGCTTTCATTACCTCAAAAAAGAAACCTTCATACTTCACGTACAGCAATGGATTCATTATACCCCAAAAATTATATATACCTGGTCATCTCGAAGAATCTTTGACTTATAAGCCAAAAGACGATGATGTTTTTATTGCCACATATCCGAAATGTGGTACTACATGGACTCAGTATATACTGTATCTCATGCTCAGTAATGGTGTACCATTAAGTTCTGATGAAGATTTCTATTCCATCAGCCCTCATTTGGAAGACAATGGGAAACAGGCTGTAAATTCCCGTCCAAGCCCAAGACTCATCAAAACACATTTACCCTATCATTTAGTACCAAAAAGTAACAAAGCCAGATACATATATATCACCAGAAATCCTAAGGACTGTTGTGTTTCGTTTTACTACCATACAATTGGCTTTGGAAAAGTTTATGATTTTGAAGGTGGTACTTTCGACGACTTTTTCGATGTGTTTTTCGAAGGATCGGTGGACGGAGGTGATTACTTTGACCATCTTTTATCTTACTATCGTCACAGAAATGACCCAAATGTTTTATTTCTTTTATACGAGGAATTGATACGTGACTGTGAAGAATGCGTGTTGAGAATTGGGAATTTTCTTGGAGGACCTTTTTCAGATGCAATTAATGATCCTAAGGTCCTCCAAAATGTTTTAAAATATAGCAGTTTTCACGAAATGAAAAAATTACCTCTATGGACTAATAGGCCGAAAGATTTGCAGTTTATAAGAAAGGGAATTGTAGGAGACTGGAAATCATGTCTTTCAAAAGAACAATCCGAAAAACTGGATCAAAAATTTAATTCAAAGTTGAATGGAACAGGTGCTGAGAATTTATGGCAAAACTTATGCTAATTTATTTCAGTTGAAACTAAATCACCATGAAATATATGCTTATTGAATGAAAACCCAAAACTAAAAGACTCGTTGTTGTTTATTCTATTTTTATCATTCTTTTCGATTCATATCGATTTTTATCATAAACTATGAACTGCAACAAGAAGTTATTGCATTTTGAAATTTTCATTCAATAATTAGCTATAATGTGCATTGCCATAGAATAATGGAAGAGGCACCTTCAGTTCTTTTTTAATTCCTTTAGAAATACTTAGTGAATCATTTTACGTTTTCTTAAGAAAGCTTTAAAAATATTAAAATTTTTTTTTTTAATTAGTGACTAAAATATCATTTTAAAGTTTGAAAAATTCCTTAGAAATTGTGCAAAATAGCAAAATTTAAATTAGTTCTTCCTTGCTGCACCGGCGTTAAAATATTCAAAACGAAATTCACAATATTCTTGTGTATCGTAATTGGAAACGTAAACAGAATTCCTTATGAAAACATTCCAATTAGAATATCTTAAAAATTCAAAAATTTTCAAGCAATTATTTAAGTTGATTTTGTAAATTTTGAAGGAAAGTTCTGAATCTACACAAGTGTCAGTTTGCATCATAAAGCAAAATTTAAAATCAAATGATAATGGCTTACAATTACTGTGCATACAACAATCTGTGATTATATAAGCATAGAAAAGATGTACAAGAAAACATATACAAGAAAACATATACTTATATAAAGGTTTCATAGAGAATGATCCCCATGATGCCGGCTTTATTTTAAATAAATCATGTACAAAAATACAAAATGGCAATTGTGGAAAACCCTTTAGCATTCAGAGCTTTTACAAAAAATTTCTTAAATAAATGCTTGGAATTTCTTAAATTTTCAAGATATTCAAATCAGACTATTTTAGGTTAACAAATACGATTAAAACAAAATTGCGATTTTTTTTTAATATTTTGATATGAATAAGATATAGTAATATATGAAAATTCCAGCATTTAGTACAATTTAAATTAGTGCGTTTTTGGTTTGGTTGGTAAATTAAGCTTTAGGTTTAAATATTTTTTTTGCAATAATTTTAGTAAGTAGCAATGAATTTAAATTAGAAATTTTCTTTTTTACTAAATCATAAACTTAGTCCGATAAAAAATTGTATTTTTATAAAATTCGATTTTCGTGTGCATTATTGTAAATTTGCTATACAATTTAATTGCTGCATTTTAGTATTAAACTCATTTGTTTTTGTAATGTCTTATTACTTTAAATTTATTGGTTTAAAATATTATTTCCTTAAAAATATTAAATATAATACTTTGTAACACAGTATAATTTAGCTAAATAAACGCTTAATTACGAATTATGCGAAAACTCAGATACACAAAGAAAAAAATATTCATCATTTTGTTACATTATCTGAAAATCTGGCATTATCTACAAATATAATTTAAGTTTCTTTGCACACCAGAACGTTTTCCATTCATCTTTGCCTAAGGAAATTTAAAGAAATGAGTATGAACCTCTTTAAATTCACGCTTCGTTATTTGAAACTACCCAATTTATGTATGAATAAAATGTTTCTTTGTCAGAGAAAATAAAATATAAAAAGAACAAAACTCTTTTCTGGAATTCTCGGAAATAAGGCAATGTTCTTTCTAAATATTTTACAATCAGCAATGGGACAAATTATACTATTCGTTTCAGATCGACTTGCAGTATTTATTTTTGAACAAAAATCAGAATAAAAGCAACGCTCTTTTTTCTTTCTCATTTCAAAGAGAAAAGGAATATAAATTTTAGAAAGGTACTCAAATGGAAGTCATTTTTTAATTTCAAACACAGAAACAAATTAGTTTCTTTTGAGTTCATTTTATGTATCGCTTGAGAACTTGGGTGTTAGCGTTTGTTACAAATTTTACAATCTGTAAAATTTGTAACAAACTTATTGTTAGTTTGTTAAATTAGAAGGGCAAGATGTGTAGAAATTGTAGTAATTAAATAATGCTTCTTAATTTTCGGTATTTGTTATCAAAATGCATGATAGTAATGAAATAACTTCTGGAATGTACAGTCAGTAAAAAAATGTATCTCCACTGCACTGTGAAAAAAAATTCTGGTAAAAAGTACTAGCACAAAGGGTGAAATCCATTTTACTATCTAATAAGTTTTACATCAATTTTACGTGAATTAACGTTAAAATCACTGAATCACTCTAAATCACTGAATCATTGCTGTAAAAATTACGATTACTAAGAAATTCTATGGATAATGCCGGTGTATACTGTAATTTTATTCGGAATTGTTTTTTTACTGTGTATAACTTTTGAACGGTTGGGCGGATTTTTATGCTACAAAATGCTTTAGCAATATTTCAAAGAAATCTTTTTAAATGTGCATCATAATCAACTATAACGGTAGTCGAATATGCTTATTTTGAAAGAAAAAAAAACGTGCTATATCCAAACAAGCATACATATTTTTTTTATCAAAATCAGATTTATCAAACCAAAATAGAAGGGGCGTGAACAATGTATTGAAAACTGTTTTTTTATAATTCAGCCTCTATATTGGTTAAAAAATCTTGAATATTATGTTATTTCAGTGCATCTTATTTCTAGGCATATCTTGCGAAGAATTCGTTACATTAAATTAACTCCTTTCTATATAATGTAGAGAAGAATTTAATTAAAACAAATAATTTTTATTAAATATTTCTTAAGAATGAAAAACCAATCAACTATTAGACATAAAAATATTTATATATTCAGCCTTTTCATGTTCTTCTTTAACTGAAATCTATATTTTCCTGTCAGTTGATTGATTAGAAAGTAGTACTTAGCACTAAATAATTAAACGTTTAAGAAATAGTACTCGATTTTATGAATACTATACCAAATTGTATTTGTTGTATTTACGTTTTTTCAAAAGAGAGATTTCTTGAATTTCAAAAAAGAAAAAAAAAAAGTGCGGTCTATATTTAGTTTGAAATTTCAACTTCTTAAACTTTTATGTTTTTTTTGTAACAATGCACTTTAAATCGTCATGAATTTTAATCTTGTAACACTCTTGTTGAAACAATTCTGCTTCAGTTCCTAAATTTTAGAGTGTTCCGTTTTTCAACACCAGATCTGGTAAAAAGATGGTGCAATTGTATTTTTTTACTATAGAATTCTTGTTATATCTCAATCAGTCACTTTATTTCAGTGTTTTTGATTAAATAAGTACACCCAAGAGTGCTAAAACGGATGAAAATCTCGAAAACAACAAAGGACCATGTGTTTAATATTTTAGAAAATAAAGTAAAAAACCTATGCATCTTTATGTCCAACCTTTCTTTCAGGAACTTTGAACTATTTTAAAATCTTAAATAAAGACCCCCAATTCCACTGCAGACTTGGTTTCTCCGGAAAGAAATATCTCACCTTTCCAAGGAGTGAAAAAGGGTTGTCTTTTAGTTGGAGTTCAGGTTGGCTTCATTAGATAACTTTTACAAAATAGAAATCACTTCAATTTTTATTTTATCAATCTGAATAATTTTTTTCTCGAGATAAACAATTTTTCTTTTTAAACAATTTGTTCTGTATTTCCATCATACTATGACATCACTTAACGTGAACAAAAATACAATAAGTTAATTAAGGGTACTTTTCATAATACAAACACATCTGTAATAAAAATTGGAGGTAATTGGAGGTAAAATTGGATTGAAATTTTACTTCTTCTTGTAAAACTGATGTGGATGATAGTGTTTTGTGTATTAATAAGTGCATCTCTTGTAAATTCAACTTTTAGACCCGATGTTTATTTCTAAACACATTTTACCATTTCCATTTTTTCTTGACACTATTAATACAGCTGAAAATATCAAATATGCCTTTCAAGTGAATTCAAAATCTCCCAGAAAGTAATTACTTCAAATTATTGTTACATGTAACTATGCAAACATTATATTTTAAAGCTTTTGTGCACAGCATATTTTATGAAAATTACTCATTTTAAACGTAATAGCAATGTTTTGTGCTATAGGAGAAATATTGTTCTCGAATATCAAGCAATGCTAGTTTTGAAAAAAGTCTTGCAACGAAAGTTAAAAGCATCAGTTAATTTTTAAAAATGAATGACTAAGGAAATTTTGAAATTCCTTATAGTCTTAAAAAGAATACTTTAAATAACTATTTAGTTTAGTTTTATGTTTCCTAGTAATCTAAATGCTAATAATTTCAAAAGAAATGAAGTACAATCATTTTTCTCATAAAAGAACACAACATTTAAAATATTTTTGGAGGACTCTTTTTTATTATTCTGGAAGGAAAATGCTATGCAGACAATTCTTAATGATTATTATTAGCTTTATTAGATGGCATTCATTAAAGGGACTCAGTTATTGCATAAAAATCTTCTTTTCTTAAAATGAAAAAAGAGAATAATAGCTTCTTCTTTTTTTCCTTTTTAAATGACGAAAAGAAAGCCAATTTGGCTTTAAAAAAGACATCTTGAAGAGATAAATAAAGTTCCTTCATATTTTTACGTTTTAAGTAAGTGTAGTACATATTTTACATGCTTTTTTGCCCCATTTTATGTGAAACTTTAACTTTTTTGTCTATAGGATACCAGCAAGTGATGTAGTGGGGGTATCTCGAACCTGATTGGTTGTTGAAACGTGGCATTTGTTTACGTTAGTAACTGTTCTTTCCATTCTATTACGAACAATCCAAGCCCGTCAAATATCAATTCTCTTAAGTGACGCATTTTAAATTCTTTCACGAGAATGCTTTCACAAAGATTTCAATTCTTTCACATTCTGAATTCAACTTTGAAACTGTTTTGTTTAAGGTTACGGTCATTGAAATGACACCTTAACTTAACCAACACCATTGCTCCGTGGCGCTATTTATGAACTGGTATAAGTAGATTCTCTCTATTTATTACTTAATTGTCTGCGAGGCCTATGCTAGACTTGGTCTCGTTTTATTTTAAAAAGAAAACGACGTGCATTGCAGGTTGCCATGGCGATATGATGGAACAACTTGCGTAAATAGAAAATGTAATGTTTTCTTTTATAAAATGGAATCGGAAATTTTATTTT